CGAATCGACTGGGAAAAGGACACTTGCCCGTATTTCTTGAAAATCAAGGAGAAAGCGCTTTGGTCGTCGTTGTGATTCTTAAACCCCGGGAAATTCGGAAACCCCAATACGTTCGGCTCTTCTGTCAGAATCCGTTTATCCTGCACGGCTTCCAACCACTCTTCTAGGATTTTGATCGCAAGGGGAGTCTTGCGCACGAGAATGATGCCGGACCCAATTTGATTCGATTCGGCGATGGTGGTGTAGTCCATGTTGAGAATATGGGAAGAAAAAAGCATTACAGTTACACACTGTGATGTTGCAAGACCGGCACCACAGACAGCCTTTCTCATGCAGGAAATGCTTTGGATTCTCATTCCCTTCCTGTGTTCCACCTTTATGTTTCCTGCATTCCAAGTTTTCTCTCTCATGCAGGGAAAATTTGTGCTGCGGAATTGACAACAAATGTGTAACTCTAACTGTAACACTTTTTTCGTGGGATAGAGAAGGAGGAACGCGTCGCGCTTCGTGAAATCGCCCTCCATCATGGGGTATCAACTGCAAAAGTGTCTGGGTCTGGAAACTTGTAATGCTGTGTCGGGAATAGTGAAAGCTCTGTAATGCACAGGCAAGCATGAGAAATATCTGCGCTTCTTCGTGTTGCGTTTTTCGCATGACAAACTGCGTTTTCGCATGACAGGCAAAAGGGTCTGTCTCTTCTTGGACACGCATCACAAACTTTTCGGTCATGCCAGACAAGCATGACAAATCTCGCAATCTTCCAGACCCACACGTTTTTGCATTTGATATCGGGGTTAAGGTGGCGGACACGTCGGAACCCCGGAGGTAGCGGGCTATGAAGTGCAAATATGTCTGGGTCTGGAAGGATGCAAGTTTTGTCATGCAGATTTTGTATGATCCATGCCGCCTGTGATGCATGACCTAGCATGATCGCAGCTTTTGAGGGAGCTTCCTTATGCATATGCCTACTTAATCCGCATGAGAAATGCCATCTCCGTGTAGCAGAAGCAGTAAACTGGGCTCCTGTTGCCAGTCATACAATACAGATTTTTTTACGATCCAAGGACAGCATCACTAGTTGCAACGTTCCAGACCCAGACATCTTTGGAGTTGATACGGGCGACTAACGGACGGATGTCGTCGAGAAAGGAGATGCCTGGTAGAAGTCGACGGTGTAATTCAATCTAAAAATCAATATCAAATTCAAAATCGTACAGAAAAAATAAGTGCACAGTAGAAGCCAAGCTAAAGCCAGCTAATCTTTGTCAGGCAATTATTAATCTTCTTTGTGTTGAAAGTCAGCATCGCACCGGACGAAGGGGTGCATTTGTGACTTTTCAAATGTTGTCATCATGATAGTTAAAAATCCGTACAACTAAACATAGACGAAAGTTTGTTGAAAGAACCGCTCTATATTCATTTTTCAGATCTCGAATCTTTCTGATAGTCACCACACAATAGCAGCGGATGGCGAAAAAAGCCTCCCGCTCCTGATTGTCAGAGACAAAATGCGTGGTATCTCAAAAAAGTGTCATCATGCGAGGTGGCACATGTGGTCGTATGGTCCTTGCGGTTGCGTCGATTCTTTACGTATAATATAAAGCAGAGCAGCTGTGACTAACGAAAAGTGGCGAGAATGTATAGCAGATGAGAAGCGAACAGGTGCAACTGAATCTATTAACTATCCGCTGCTAGAAAAACTAAAACTTTATTTCCTTGCATGATTTTCATTTTTGGATCCTGCGCACGATATGATAGAGATAGACATTGAACAAGTAGTTGTCATAGATTGATAAGAGGTCAGTACAACTTCCGCCAGGAGACAAAGAACGTATCTATCATGTGAAAATCTGTAAAATCATACCTGCGTCGGTCCACACGAGTATTTCATTTTCCTTCACTTTCTCCCTCAAGGCCTTGAGAATCACGTACGGTTTCCAAACGTAGTACCCCACTTTCCCGCTCGGCGTTTTGTACTGGGTCAGCTCCTATGAAATGCAAAAGTGTCTGGGTCTGGAAGAATGCAAGTTTGTCATGCTTATCTGGCATGACTCGAGAATCTGTGTTGCATAGGCACGACAGGGCCCTCTTACCTGTCATGCAAAAACGCAGTTTGCCATGCGGAATACGTAAGACATGGCAGCCAAAAAATTTGTCATGCGTAGCTGCGTGCTGCAGTGCGTCTATCATTCACTTTTAGCATTACAAGTTTCCAGACCCAGACATTTTTGCATTTGATAGCTCCGGAGTGCGGACGTACTCTAGAAGCTCCTTATTTTTCACTATCCTGGGTAAAAACGTCCCCACCCCAGCGTCAAGATGGGGAACCTGTGACGCAAATCAGCCAGCTTCGGCTGTTCTTGCGCATGACATCAAGTTTGGCCTCGTAGTGTAAAAATCCTGTGCGTTTAGCTAGTTCACCAGCGTCACAGATCTGAAATCGCATGCTGATTGGAGCATCACACGAGGACCCGAGACTCAATTATAGAAAATGCTTCTCATGGGGCTCCGCATGAGAAACATTTCAAGCATGCAGATTTGCATGACAACTATGAGGTGGGGAAGTTTTTCTTCAGAATATTCGCCGTGAACTCTTCATCCAGATCTTCGGCCACCATCCCGTAGGAAATGTCGCACTTTCCGACGGCCACTGCAGTTTCGGAGGATTTTTTCTGGTCCTCTTCACAGCAATTCATGGCGAAATTTACATGGACAATTCTCTCGTTGGTCAGGAACTCGGACCCCGGCGGCGTGAAGGAAATTTCCGTTTTTGTAGTAGCCGCGGGAAGAAGAGAATTCGCCCACGCGGCCTGTTTTTTTTTTTTTTTTGGATATGATGTTGATCCACCTGCTGGATGTCCCGGTTGACAAAAGAGCCCGAACAACCGATCGCGACTCCAAACAAAAGCAGCCGAACTCACGCCAGAAATACCGTCCGACTTTCATCGTGTTTGACCTTTCCACCTCTTCAAAATGTATCGCATTGAAAAGCTTTTGTTGCTGCCTTCACAACACACAGCGCCCGCGCCCAGAAAAAACCCGAATCAGGTGCGGTTTGTCTCTACGAGTGCGCACTTGCACACGACTTGAGGAGGTGTTGGGAAGGCAAAAAGCAACCCAAAATCCTGCCAGAAATGCCGTCCGAGTCAGCTCGTGTTTGACCTTTCCACCTCGTGGAAATTATCACAGAGAAAAGTTTATGTTGCGGCATTCACAAAGACAACAGATCGCGCCCACGAAAAACCCGAATCAGGTGCGGTTTGCCGACAAGGGCGCGCACTTGCACATGACTTGAGGGGGTGTTGGGAAGGGAAAAAGCGACCCGAAGTCCTTCCAGAAATACCGTTCGACTCCCCTCGTGTTTGAGCTTTCCACCTCTTGAAAATTATCGCATTGAAAAGTTTGTGTTGCGCGCTTTTCTTTTCAATAGCAATTTATTTTGAAAATTGGCCAGGGCCGGGCGGGACTGCAATGTTCCCGAAAAAATTGAAAGAAAACGAACCTCGTGTATGAGCGTGCACAGGCGGCTGGCAGGAACGGCCAAGACAAAATTCGGGATGAGGTCGTTTTTGCAAAATTGGCGATAGCCGTGCCTAGCAAAATGCATTGAAAAATTCAAAAAAGACGCGCCTCGCGGGCGAACCCGGACAGGCGCGCGGCAGGAACGGCTAAGACGAAATTCGCGATGAGGTCACTTTTACAAGATTAGCGATAGTGTCACCATTAAAAATGCACTGAAAAATGGAAAAAACACGCACACTGCGTTTGAGGTCGGCCGGGTCACCGGCAAAAAGTGCAGACCTCAAGAACACCAAAAAGCCCGCCCGTGCCCTCCCCCGACCGCGGCTATCCGGAGCAAAGCCTTTGCGTTTGCCCGAGCAAATGATAATGATCTTCTATAGGCCACAAAATAAGACGAATGCGTGGCAACACAACAATGAAGCAGTTGTACTTCTTTCCCATATCATGTTGACAAATACCTTTTTCTTCTTTCCCGAAGTTCTACTACCGCCCGCTGGACCTTCGGAGTTGTCTTTTCTCCTCACAATTTTCGTCCCAGTGCTGGCAGCACTGCTGACCCACTCAAACGCCGCCTTCTCCCCGTCTTTCTCCACCGAGGTTATCAGCGGCGTTTATGCATTGCAAATGTGTCTGGGTCGTCTGGAAACTTGTGATGCTGGGGGCGTATCATGAGGAGGCCACAAGTGCTGGCTCAGCATGACAAGTATCTGAGCTCCTTCTACATGTTGTCTATTCTGCATGACAAACTGCGTTCTTTCTGCATGACAAAATTATGGAGCTCTTGGGTAATGTGCACGAGAGATTTAAGAGTCAGGCCAGACAAGCATGACAAACATGCATTCTTCCAGACCCAGACATATTTGCACTTGATAGCGTTGCGTCCCGGACGAAACACTGCCGGTCGTTCTGCTCGAACAGATATCCTCTGCAAAAGCATCGTACTTGTAGTAATCGCATTTATGCATGACAAATATCTTTTTCAAGGTAAATCAACATGAGAAATTCAATTTGTCATGCTGAGCAAATTTGTAATGCGATTACTACTAGATCTAGAACTAGTGCGATGCTTCTGCATTTCATAACAGAGCCGCTTCGTTCGCCGCGGTCGCGTGTAGCACGTTCTCGATGTTTGGTCCGTCGCACGTCACGCCGCCATATCAAATGTAAAAATGTCTGGGTCTGGAAGACTGCAAGATTTGTCATGCTGATCTGGCATGGCCCTTAAATCTGTATTGCGTGGCCACAAACAGCCTCTTCCGCCTGTCATGCAAAAACGCAGTTTCTCATGCGGAATAAGCAGCACAGAAGCACGAAGCAACTTGTCATGCTTGACGGCGCATTACAGTGCATTTGTTATTGACTGACTTGCATCACAAGTTTCCAGACCCAGACATTTTTGCATTTCATACACCACACACGTCCGCACCCAGCTGCGCGCACAGGTTCATCGCGTGCTTCAACGATTTAAACTTGTAGTCCTCGAGATTGACCACGCTGCCCGCAAGCGAAACCTTGTCGTGGATTGCCCAACCGTTAATGTAGCGCGACGTTGTACTAGCACTTCTTGGGGCGGATGAAGTAGAACCTGTTCCAGCTGCAGCAGTTCTTGTGCCACTACTGCTCTCAACAGAGGGAGGCACAGTCGAACTACTGCTCCCTACTCGAGTTGTGTAAGAATCCGTTGGGTAAGAAGCGGAAGGCGATACGAGAGAGTTCCACTGCTCGACGTAGCCCTTATGCATTGCAAAGGTATCGCATTCGTATAGATTTAAATGCATTGCAAATTGAAATTTCCTCAGCATTTGTAATGCATATTTGCCTTGGAAAAAAGATTTGTAATGCAAGACTTGCATTTGTATGAGTACGATACTTTTGCACAGGATAGCCCTCCATCGGGGTAGTCACGTTCCCGGGCGTGCTATGACAGTGCACAACTTTCCCTCCCCCTCACTTGTCATGCAAAATCCCAAATCCAGTCGCTCTCGCTTCCCTGTGGCTCTGTTTGCATGAGAAATTTCGAAAACCCAAACAGTACTACAGTAGGCACATAAATTTGCAATGCACGGGCTCCAGGGTCGCTGGCGTTTGTATTGCTGTTCATGCGATACACATGAGAGGGAGGGGGAGTTGTGCAGTGTCATACGTGCTCGGTGCGGCGTAGTAGGACTTCCAGGTCCGTCTTCGGGGCGACACACTGGACCTCGACACCCGGATCGGGTGGTTTGCCGGGCCGATATGCGGTTCTCAGGCGTTGCACTCTCATGATTTGTCATGCAAAAAGACTATCACTCGTCACACGATCAAGCCTTCTTCGCATGCCAACTTCTCGCTGCGCTAAATACCGCCAGAACAATCTGTCCGCCAAAATCTGTAATGCAAAAGGCGCAAGAATCTACTTCCTCCTTTCACTTTTGCCATTCTTGCATTACAAATTCATGATGTAACTGAGAATCTTCCCATAGCCGATGGTCCCGCTGTAGAGGATATCGTAAATCCGGTGTCGCTCATGTTCCGACATGAGTTTTTGAAGCGAGAAAAACACGATGTTCTCAGATTTCCCAAACCACCCGTCGGTAGTGACGAACGTGTTTTCCGATTCGTAGAAGTGGATGAAAAACAAGTGGTAGTGAAGAAAATCGTCCTCTGCGAAGGAAACCGTCGGCACCCGATCCGTCATGAAGGGGCCGAAACAGAGCCGGTCTAAAGCCCGCGGTAAGTACGTGAATGGGAAGAAGTAAACCAGGGACAACAAATCGGTCAAAAACAGCAACCCGCGGTTCGATCCTTTCACGGCTAACAAGTCCATCCCTCGGGTTTTGTGCGGATTGAAGAATTCCGTTTCGACATTGACGTCCTTTACCCACAGGTAGGGGAACGGATTCCGGACCCAGAAGTGACTGATAGAAACGTACGCCATGTCCATCCCTGCGAGAACGCCGATCCGCATGTAGCCGAGAACGGACAAGAAGCTGGAGGATTCGGACAACTTCGGTAAACACATGTATTTCTCCAAAGTGTGGTCCAGTTTGGACAACTGCCCGGACGCGACCGACTTGCACTGCAAATCCAGGCTGTTCTGCTGTTGCGGATCACTGGACAACACGATCCCCAACCCCCCCTGCTTCATACTGTATTTCGCCCGGCGGAGCCAGTTTTTCAACCAAGTAATGCTCCCCTTATCGACGCTGGTCAAGACGATCCGGTTATTTCGCTGAATTTTCGACAACCGCCAGTAGATCTCGTTGTTGTCCTCTTTGGTGAGCACCCGCTTCTGCAGGATCTGGGCCTGCATTTCCTCGGTTATGGACGATTGTGGGATAACGTTGACGGCGTGCGGTTTGGCTTGACTGGAGTTGGGGTCTCCGGAGGAGTTCTGTGCGCTGCTATCTGTGTTCGCATTGCTTGGGTGCACCGGGTAGTCGCTACTACCGTCATTTTCGTTGTAAAATTCGTCTTCATCTTCCGGTTGCTTAGCCGATACAGACGGTGTGGTGGCGTCCGAGACAGAGCCAGAGGCCGCTATATTCCCACCGGATGATAACGGCATCACCGCTTCGTCTCGTATGATCCCCGTTTCGCCCTCCGTCCCCTCGTTCTGGTAGTCTGCGTTGTATCAAATGCAAAAATGTCTGGGTCTGGAAGAATACAAACTTGTGATGCGCATTTCAGCACACAGAAAAATCTCTGATGCATAGGTAGCAAAAGCTGCCCACTTTCTGTCACCAAAGTGGGGGATTTGTCGTGCGCAGTCGGCATTGCGGAAGCTTTTCGAAACCTGTGATGCTAGAGCTTCCATGCCAGACCTTCTGCGTCATGCAAAAACAGCATGACTCTTGCAGACCCAGACATTTTTACATTTGATACGTTGGAGACCGCTTCCATTTCCATGGGTTTTTTGATCAACTTAATGATCGACTCTTTCACCTGTTCGGTGTAGAGCCCCATGTCACCCACCCGCCAGTCCCAGGGGTTCTTCGAATCCATATATTTCGGTGGAGAGTCTAAATCGTCGGTCAACGCCGCTTCCGGCAGATCCAATTTTTGCTTCTTCATCTCGTTCAATAGATGAACAATCCCAAAGAGCCGCCAGCGGGAATACAGCAATTGGTGCTTCCGGTTCCATATAAAATGCAAATATGGCTAGGTCTGGGAGCTTGTGATGCAAGGAAGGGAATTATAGGGAGCACACTGATGCATTATTTAATGCGCTGCCAAGCATGACATAGTTTTTCCGTGGTTCTGAGTTGCGTACTCCGCATGAGAAACTGCGGCTTTGCATGACACGGAAGAGGAGCTCATCTTCGCGGCCACGCAGTACAAAGCTCAGAGTCAACATGCCAGACCAGCATGACAACTCTCGCTACCTCCTACCAGAGCACCCAGACATATTTGCGATGCTTATTCCAGATCTGCTCGATCTGCTGGAATCCCCGCTCCAACATGCGGTAAACATCGCCGTCGGAAAGTAGTATCGCGAACATGCGGAGCGCGTTGGCGGCGATAACGCCGAATGGACACTGGTTGATGACGTCGGAAATGGTGGAGGAAGTCGCACTATCAACTGCAAATAGAAATATGTCTGGCTCTGGAAGAGTGCAAACTTGTATTGCGTGTCGAGGAGTCCAGAAAAATCTGTATTGCATGAAAGCAACAAAAGCGCCACAGTTTGGTGATCAAAAAATACAGTCTGTAATGCGTACTAAGGATGAGAATGCTACACTACTCTTACAGACGCAGTCACTCATGGCCATTCAGCATCACAAGTTTCCCGACCCAGACATTTTTGCAGTGCATACGCACTGTGCTCTACACTGCTCTGCGACTTGAAGATCACCCCGTCCGCGTGGCTTATCGCCCACCCGTATCCTGTGTAAAGACGTCTCCTCCCCAGGGTTGTCATGCAAATCTGCATGCTGAAAATGTTTCTCATGCGGAGCCCCATGAGAAGCATTTTCCAGTGGTGTTTTGGAATTTGTCATGCTCCAATCAGCATGATATACTAGATCTGTGATGCTGCTGAGCTAGCTCAAACAGCATTGCACTACGGGTCCAAATTTGTCATGCAAAACAGCCAAAGCCTGTGGATTTGCCTAGCCGAGTCCCCATCTTGACTATGGGGTGGCGAGGTTTTTGCATAGGATAACCCGAGGCTGGTTCGGTCGGTTTTCGTTTTCTTTTCCAACAGCCACTCGTTCGCTTCGGTCTTTCCATTGCAAACATGTCTGGGTCTGGAAACTTGTGATGCAAGGAAGGGAATAATGATCTCACTGTAATGCGCTGCCAAGCGTGCCATGTTTTTTCGTGGGTCTGAGTTGCGCATCCCGCATGAGAAGCTGCATTTTTGCATGACAGAGAGGAGGAGCTCTTCGCGGCCACGCAATACAGAGCTTAGAGTCATGCCAGACTAGCATGCCAAATCTCGCAATCACCCAGACCACCCAGACATATATGCATTTGATACGGTCACCCCCGTCGCCAAAGCCCCCCGGAACTCGTTCCATTCGATCACATTCGGGTCGGGAGATAAGATATGAACTGCAAAAGTATCGCACTCGTACTAATTACATTTATGCATTACAAATCTTTTTCTTACTCTTAGGGTAAATCTGCATGGCGAATTTAGTTTGTAATGCTGGGCTAATTTGTGATGCAATTTATACTAGTACGATGCTTTTGCTTTGCATATAAGATGCAGTCGTCGGCGTTGTCGTCTTCTAAAAAAGTTGGCTTCCCGGTCGCGGAGTCCACGCTGTCCCAGATTTTCTGTTGCTCAATGTCGAGAAGCTTCAACACCGGCCATTGGGAGGACATGAGAAGGTAGAAATCGGTCGGGATGTGGTAAAAGCAATCCCGGACACTGTCCATCGACTCCGCGCCCACGCTATGCTGTGCAAAAGTATCGCACTCGTATAAATGCATTACAAATCTCCTCAGCATGAGAAATAAAATTTGTAATGCGAAATTGCCTTAAGAACAGGATTTGTAATGCATGAGTGCAATACGAGTACGATACTTTTGCACAGGATACACGCAGGCGACGAGTTTTCCCAGCGGGCACCCGGGGATTTGCATATCACATGCAAAAATGTCTGGGTCTGGAAGAATGCAGACTTGTCATGCATATTTCTCATGACCCATGACGCCAGTAATGCTTGACCTAGCATCGCAGACTTTTAGAGGGCTTCCTGATGCACCTTCCGCATGAGAAATGCCCTGTCCGTGTAGCAAAAACTAAAACTATCCCCCTCTTGCTGGTCATGCAATACAAATTTTTTTAGAGTCCAAAAACAGCATGACAAGTTGCAATCTTCCAGACCCAGACATTTTTACAGTTGATATTGCAAGGCGTAGCGGGAAACGTGGTAGTCGGGGGGTTCGTTTTTCGCCACCGCGTCGGAAACGAGGTTGAGGTATTTGGTCCAAAAGGGGTCTTCTCGTACGCAATCGGGGTCGTAGAACTGCCGCCCGACGTTCGTAGCGGACGCGGTTGTTGCGACAAGCAGGGATAGTACTGGCAGGAGATGTATGAAATGTAAAAATGTCTGGGTCTGGAAGGTTGGAACTTGTCATGCTAAATCTGAATCATGTAAAAATCTGTGTTGCATGAGTGCCAAAAGCTGTCCAGTTTTGACCTAATCGAGAGGCAGTTTCTCATGCAGGATAGGCATGATAGAACTCTCACGGAATCTGTCATGCTATGTCCTCCATACCAGAACTCATGGGTCATGGAAAACCTGCATGACAAGTCTGGCATTCTTCCAGACCCAGACACTTTTACATTTGATAAGATGCTGGAGTAGTCCCCTGCTTGCACATAGGAAAAATGTTGATCCACCACGACCTATTGCTCCTCTTCTTGGTTTTTTCCTTCGTCCGTTCGTCTGACAGTCGTTCCTGTGGAAGTTGTCCACCTGCTCGTCCCGCGATAGCATTTCTCGGTCGTGTAGGCCCCCGCTGCATCTTGAAGAAGATGCAGTCATCTTTGTGCAATTGGCACAAGAAGTAGCTCTCGCAGGCGCGGTTCTTGCAGAAGCCGCAGCACTTGTAGCTGTAGTTGCTCTCCTCTCAGCTGAACAAGACGAGGTAGGACTAGTACGAGAGACGACCATGCGACAGGAGGTTTCATCCACGACCCCCAACATCGCCGCTCGCTTCCGACGTTTGCGTCTTGCAGTAGAAGCTCCGCCTGTTGTTCCGCCAGGACAAGAACTGCGTGAGGACAGTGTAGATGATGGTGATGCAGCTCCTGTACTCATTTTTCAGCACTGTGGCGCGGCCCCCGAAGCCGTGCTGCTAATTATTTTTACAAGTGTTTCGGCTTTAATACAGCAACGCTCCATGACAGTTGGTTGTTGCAGCGGCCATCTTGCTGCGAAGAGAGCGGGCGCACAGGTAAGAAAAAAGCGCAAGGGGTCTAGATGTAGATGATGACTCGGGCCGACAATAGAAACATGCACGTGGTGATCTTACTTTTACTGAACAAGCTAGAGCAGAGAAATCTGCATTGATGCGGATTCGATCTTGCATCTAAACGAAAAGCCAAAAAAAGTAGTCTTTTTCCGGGCTACTAGTTTTCGACTACTTTATTTCCCACCACGCCCAGAGGAAAGAAAACCAGCCGAAGAAATGGCCACATCATTAACAGAATCCGCTCGGGGAAAAATTATCTCTAGAATCTGCATTGCAGATTCAATACTCATCTTGCATCTACCGAAAAAGAGAGGCCAAAGCAACCAACTTTTTTTCTCGCCGCGAGTTTTTTCTCCTCGCCGCGAGGAGAAAAAACCGCCCGAAAAAGTGGCTCGTCGACGTCGATAAGTATCCTCTACAAAAAAATCTGCATTGCAGGTTCAATCTTGCATCGATCTAACGAAAAAGAGAGGCCAAAAAAGGTCCCGCAATTTCTCGCCGCGAGTTTTTGTGCCCCGCCGCGGGGCGAAAAACTGCAGCCCCGGAAGGGGCCCTCCCCCCGGAATCCGCTCGGGGAAAAGTCTCCTCTACAGAAA